CAGAGTGTACCTGTCCCTCAGAGTGTACCTGTTCAGCAGTGTGTACCTCAGAGTGTACCTGTTCAGCAGTGTGTATACCTGTCCCTCAGAGTATACCTGTCCCTCAGAGTGTACCTGTTCAGCAGTGTGTACCTGTCCCTCAGAGTGTACCTGTTCAGCAGTGTGTACCTGTCCCTCAGAGTGTACCTGTCCCTCAGAGTGTACCTGTTCAGCAGTAGCAGCAGTGAGGCGCTGGTGTTGCAGGGTGGTGCTGTTGAGCCGCTCCATCAGCTGTTGGATCTCCCTCATCTCGTTCTCTATCACTTGCAGGCTGATCACTCCGTACAGCTCTCTATCATCCTCCCTCTCCAGCAGGGACACATACTCCAGCAGCTGGGGCAGACGGCGATCCAGACCCAGCAGCAGACTCTCCAGCTCCATGGTCTGAACAGAACAGGTGGTGTTGGTACAGAGCCGGGCTGAACCAGCTTTGTCCCTTCCCCTCAATCAGCCATTCCCTTTACTAACTAATCTTTGACAGCATCCCTTCAACCAGTCATCCCTCCATTCCTACATCCGCTGTATCCTTCATTCCTCCCTTCCTTCATCTTCCTCCCTACATCCTTTCTTCTATTTGTCCATTCTTCCCCACATCCTTAGTCAGTTCATCCCTTCCTCCCTACATCCCTATCTCCCTCTACTGTATATCTTCCACCCCTAATCCCTTCCTTGCTACATTCATTCGTCCCTTCTTCCCTCCCTAACTACATCCCTTTGTCCATTCATCCTTCCCCTCCCTGCATTTCTTAATCTATCCCTCATGAAGCCCTTCACAAGTTAAATCAAAGAGTGTATCGTGTACAGCGGAGATGAAAAAAGTAGATCTACTAGAGTATCGTACTCAAGTACAAGTTAGCATACTTAAAATACATTTTCAAGCAAAATAAAAATTACTTGTTACAAAAATGTAGATAGAGAAAAGTAAACACATATATAAAATACTTCAATTTAAATGCACACCACGGGCTGTGATGAGGTTCTGATCTGAGACAGAACCCCCAAAGAAAACCCCCCTTTCTTTGGCATGCAATATCTCCTGTTATTACATCTTGAATCTACATATTGTTTTGGAGCGGTCCTTGCAAACAGTACAAAATCTAGTATTATTAATATATTCTATTAACTAGAAGTATAGAGTATCACAACTACTCACTGTACCTTCTGGGGGGTGACGTTGCTGTTGCATTTTAATGCATTTTCCTTCACTCCACTGAGTTTGTCATAGGGAAAGGCTTTCTCTGAGTTAGTCAACTCACACGCACACTTATCATCTGAAGGTGCCTGCAATGAAGAATATTAAACGTGGCATGTTCAAATAAATCCCAAATGAAGTAATCAATGTATTCAAAGTGTTTCCTACCTGTTGGGTGAGGGTGAGCAGGGCCCACAGGGGGACGATCACATAGAGCTTCATAGCGGATCAGAGAGCACAGCTAAATGAAACAGCTCTTTGAAACAGTTTGATTATGACGGTGTGTCCGCCTGTAGCTGCCCATCTAACTGAACACTCCCACTAACCTCTGTGTGTGTTCAGTGTGTGTGCCATGTGTCATGTTCCTTTCTGAATGTGATCACTTCCTCCTTGTGGTTGGGATTGCAGCAAGACAAAGATTTGTATATGGTGAAGTGAAAACTCCATATGTTACTGTGTTTACCTGCGAATGTCTCTTTTGGGAATACCGTGTCCACCATATTCAATTATGAAAGAAGAGCAAAGAAAAAGCTGAAATAAAGTGGAGTTGATAAAGCATACAAATTAAGTTTTATATATAAGTAATATGAATATCAGGAAATGTTTGATCCCATGCACATGTGATCAACATGTTATAGATTTGCGAAGATAATTAATCAATAAATGAATAATCCCAGGGTAAATAATGTTTGTGACAGTTGCACCACATTAGAAAGAAGAAAATAGGAAATGTATATAAAAAGTTTAAGTAGCCACATGGACACAGCATCTGAGGCTCAGGAATGAGGCAGGACGTCCTCCACAGCACAGAGACATGATGAAGACTCAGGCTCATGGTGAAGACATGATGAAGACTCAGGCTCATGGTGAAGACATGATGAAGACTCAGGCTCATGGTGAAGACATGATGAAGACTCAGGCTCATGGTGAAGACATGATGAAGACTCAGGCTCATGGTGAAGACATGATGAAGACTCAGGCTCATGGTGAAGACATGATGAAGACTCAGACTCATGATGAAGACATGATGAAGACTCAGGCTCATGGTAAAGACATGATGAAGACTCAGGCTCATGATGAAGACTCAGGCTCATGTTGAAGACATGATGAAGACTCAGGCTCATGATGAAGACATGATGAAGACTCAGGCTCATGATTAAGACATGATGAATACTCAGGCTCATGGTGAAGACATGATGAAGACTCCGGCTCATGGTGAAGACATGATGAAGACTCAGGCTCATGGTGAAGACATGATGAAGAATCAGGCTCATGGTGAAGACATGATGAAGACTAAGGCTCATGATGAAGACATGATGAAGACTCAGGCTCATGGTGAAGACATGATGAAGACTCAGACTCATGGTGAAGACATGATGAAGACTAAGGTTCATGGTGAAGACATGATGAAGACTCAGGCTCATGGTGAATACATGATGAAGACTCAGGCTCATGGTGAAGACTCAGGCTCATGTTGAAGACATGATGAAGACTCAGGCTCATGGTGAAGACATGATGAAGACTCAGGCTCATGATGAAGACATGATGAAGACTCAGGCTCATGGTGAAGACATGATGAAGCTCTTAGTGCCATCCTTGTCAGCCCGAACAGTCTAGAATCCATCAAATTAAGCGTTGGAAACATAGGAGCTTTGTTGAGGGAAACATTGCCCAATCAGTCCGGAATTGTTCGATTGAAACGTTGTCGTCAGATATGTGCTGGTGCAGCCATGTTTTTGTAAAGCACATTAACCCTTTAGCGGGCGAGAAACCATATTTGGGTTAGGGTTAGGGTTACCCAAACATGGCGTCCCCCCGCGACTCAGTTGCCCCTTTCACACCAACGCGGTTCCCATTCTAGCTCCGTGCTTGCGCTCTTCTGGTTCGGAACCAGTTTTTCTTTTCAACCCCCATTTTGTTCACACCACCCAGAGCCCGACTGGTTCTGCCGCGGCTGCGTCATGACATCACCGTTTATGTCGCTAATTTTCTCCCCAACGGCGCTCACAACAACAACAATGGGGGACTGTGTCGGGTCGATGATCGTGTTGCTTTTAATCAACTACTTCACTTTGCTCAGCGCTACAGCTTGTTACAACTTTTATTTGCCGTACTCGCCATAAACTGTTGATCAGGTTGATCCCGCCCCTGCTCCCGTCTCCGACGTAAGCGTGACGTATGCGGTTCTTGCTTCTAGACCGACTATTTTTTGGAGCTTGGTAAGAACCGGTTTTCGGGGAAAAGAGCCGGCTCCGCTGCGGTGTGAACAGGAAACACCGGTGCTTATCAGGCTCTTGCTCCGAACCGGCCCTGGAACCGCGTTGGTGTGAAAGAGGCAAGTGAGGTCGAGAAGCATGTGGTTTTCTCCCAGCCAATCAGCGAAGATCACTATATGCCATAGAGCTTGCCATTGGGGAATTTGACCAATCAGCAGAGGCCTGAAACGGGTTAGTGTTAACCTAATAGTGCCCTATAAAGGGTTAAACTGCACTTCAGATTTTCCGTCTGACTCATGGCTTATATCAAAGCATCTGTCCCAGATGTAAACAGGTAAAACATGGGGTTGTGCTGGATGTACAACAGGAGCAAGTAAATGGCAAAAACTAAAACTATCTCTCTTCAAAAAAGTTTAAAGAGGGCACAGCTTAATAAATTACTGATACAAGTTATCAACAGAAAAATAAAAAACAAGTTTGTTAGGGAAATAATTGTCCTAGACTCCTAGATATGACGTACATGACCAACCCTGACGTCTGTTTATCTCCTTTAAGGACATAGGCTGCTTCAGCCATAATGTTATTGTTCCCATTCTGTGACCGGGCAACCCTAGGTCACAGATGGTCTGTTGTTTTGGGTGCACTGGGACACTTCTTTCTTTGTTGTTTGTGGACTCCAAGGTATGACATTTTCGAGGCCATAAGTGACGGACGCAAGTGACTCAGTGTGCCCAACTGTTTAAGCTATCTTATATGTTGATTACTCTCTGTGAAACCAGTTAAATGGGCTAACGAGAGAGAGGCGCTCCAGAATTGACGTGGCAACCCAGTGCAGTCTCACCGTGACTGCTGTGACTTGTGATGTGAATCCTCCGGCCGAAACTCCAAATAAATCATCAGTGTTTGACATCGAAGCTCCTGCTCTACCGTGTCTCCTTCCTGAGTCGGTGACTCCCACTGCATTGCTACACAGAAGTTTCCCTTACAAAGTTGGATCAAATAAGAGAGCTAGAAGCTGAACATAGTACAGATCAGTCAGAAGCAACGGCAACAGGCTGCATGCATGGTTGGTACATGCACTCTCAACATAACCCCACATTGCTCCTGATGGCCAACAGTGTGTTAGTGTGTGTACATTTTGATCACTCCTGATGAGCAGATGGCCCCTTGTGTAGTCTATGCGAACGTGTGTGGATGGGTGAACACTGACTTGACATGTATGACATGATTCAGAGTAAAACACAATAAGTAGTGAACTGTATGGTAAATAATGAAAGAGTAATATAAGCGTGTCATCAGAAACAAATTGGATTTGGGAACAGAATTAAGGAACAGAAAGTGACACGTGAAGACACCGCACACACGAAACAACACGCAGGAGGATTTTGCAAAAGGGAGAAATGACACTGAGTGGAAATATGGGAAACTGTGTTCGCTGTGAAACTCTGCAAAGTGTCACGTTTTGGAGTTTCACATCCATGACTCATCAGTGACTTGAAGCAAGTCAGCAAAACGTGTGAGTTTGTGTGAGAAAAGGGAGGAGGGGGGGGGGCTTATTTCCAATATTAACAGCTTCTGTCCTTGTTAGTCCACTATTCATATCTCCGTCTGTAAACATGCTGCTGCTGCTCCTTCTGCTGCTGTCATCGGTGAGTATACTTCCAATTAAAACATAAGGAACTTTATTATAGTAGACTTTATGTCATTGCAGTCTCTTTTCTTGTAAACCTCCTGTGTATAACATCAGTGTTTGTTGTGTGACAGCCAGGTGAGTCCCAGGCTCAGCATGTGTCAGGCCAGAAGAAAGACGGCGCGTGTGTTTGCGAGGTGAACTCCAACATGTGGTCATTCCCTACTGAGGAATACAAAACCACGGTGCAGCAGGTTACATCCTGTGAAGAGTCTCTGAACAGCCTGCAGGATCAGGTGAGAAACAGCATCTTTTCACAGTACTCAAGAATAATGAAGGGGGGTAACTTGGATAGTTGGGTTCCAAGATAAAAGTCAATGCAATCAATCAATCAATCAATCAATGTTTATTTATATAGCCCAATATCACAAATGTTACATTTGTCTCAGTGGACTTCACAATGCAATGGGTTTACAGATGAGAACAGGCAGTTCAAGATTAATTGTATTTATTTAAATAGCAATTTCTTAATTAAGACACTTTATACAAGGATACAACAAACATGGATAAATGATAAAAAGCAACAATATGTTATGTAATCAATTCAGTAAAATGCAAAGGAGCTTTAGAACAGAAAACAGTTAGCTGTACAGTAGGAGTACCCAAATGGTGATAAAGAACACCTCAGAATAAACCTTTAACCTGAAGAGTCTCTGCCTGTGTCTCTCCTTCAGGTGGAGCTGTCCAGCGAGCGCCTCCCTGGGATCATGGCTGTGATACAGAACGTGACAGAGCGCCTGGAGCCCCACCGGCACCTGCATGACCTGGGCCTGTACACAGACCTGGCCGTGCACCAGCTGGGCCAGGAGCTCAGCCAGCTGGAGGGGGACATCAGGGACATCCACAGCCAGCTGAACAACGCCCAGACACAGAAACTCTCCAAAGAGGTACAGCATGGAGGAACACTGAAAATACTGCTGAAGTTAAAGTGCAACAATGACCTAAATAAGTAACATACTATATTGCATCACCATATTAATTTACAATACAATGCAGCATGGCATAAAGAAACCTCATCCAGTTTTTTTTTAATTGTATAAATATTAAATATATATGTGTGTGTGTGTGTGTGTGTGTGTGTGTGTGTGTGTGTGTGTGTGTGTGTGTGTGTGTGTGTGTGTGTGTGTGTGTGTGTTAGGTGGGTAAACTGCTTAAAGATGCTGGCAGGATGCAGATTTCGAAAACAGTAAACATGAAGACAGTGAAAGAGAAGCTGCGCTACCTGAAGAACAGTGCTCAGTCCTGCAGGACCATCCCCAAAGACTTCAGAGGTATGTGTGTGTGTGTGTGTGTGTGTGTGTGTGTGTGTGTGTGTGTGTGTGTGTGTGTGTGTGTGTGTGTGTGTGTGTGTGTGTGTGTGTGTGTGTGTGTGTGTGTGTGTGTGTGTGTGTGTGTGTGTGTGTGTGTGTGTGTGTGTGTCTCTGATGAACTGATCACAGACCCCAGTGTGGTTGTGAAGGCCGACATCACAACACCTCAGGAAGAGACTGTGGAACTGCACAGAGACTCTGCAAGGAGGGTTCTGCTCAGCATGAAGCAGTCTGAGATCAGGCAGCACTGGTGTGGACTCAGACTACAGGGAAAGCTAGCCTGTTTGGGGTTTGCTGACCACTCAGTCTCACACTCAGTGTTTAAGAACGCCGCTGTTGGTGAGGATGTTCTGACATTTACCATCAAAGCAAGACTGCAGGTATTACCCACTAAGTACAATCTGTCCACCTGGTACCCTCGCATTCACACTCCATTCTGTTTAAACCATCAGGATTCACAACAACACCTAGAATCCATTGCACACATAACAAATGGATGTAATGCATACAAACGCCTGTACATAGCCCGTCATGACCGTATTGTGGACATTGTGTGTGATGCGGTACGAAACATCTTACCATCTAGCGCAGCAATGTACAAGCACGCTAGAGTGCTACCAGAATGGTTTGGTTTTACCAATGATGTCTTTGCTAACATCCCAAATACACCTGATGTTGTTTTTGTTGACACCAACCACAGGGAGGTGCTAATATTAGAAGTAGGCTGTGCCTTTGACCTGTACATGGACCAGGCTTTCCAGGACAAGTGTGTGTGTGTGTGAGTGTGTCAAGTCTCTGTGGGGACTTGCTTTCCTTTTGGGAGGTCCCAATCTAGGACTCATTTGATGTGAAGACTTGGTTCAGTGTAAAGTTAGCGCAGGGTAAAGAGTGGCTAAACGGCGGTACTGCAACTTCTTTGTCGTCATTGGGCCCAAAAATACCTTTTTTCATTGACTTCCTTTTGGAAAGAAACATTTTTAAATACAAAATAAATGTGAGTCAACTGTACAGTACAAACACTTGTATAGCCCTTATTTACATCTTTGTGTTGTAAAAGTTGTCAAATGTGCAAAAAGTCGAATCTAGAGTTATTTTCCCTCTGCAGTCGTTTGACTTAGCTGAGACTGGTTAATAAGAGGTGGGGCTTAAGGAATATGCAAGTGCTAATGTTCTATGGGTCCAAGACCCCCGATGATCAGGGTACTTGATGTACCTCCAGTCAGTCCATATTTGGCCTCATGCACCACTGACTCATATGGAAATGAACTGGGCCCCACCTCCAAAACTGTATCCACTTCTCTTTATATATCCATTGGCACCACTCTTCATAAAAACACAACGGCAACCTCAGCCCAGGACTTTTTAAGAATTAAAAATAATAGGCTGCATGTTGTGTACATTCACATTCACCTCATCTCTTTCTGTTTTCAGGCCAGGACAGGTACTGCCTGAAGGGCATGATGTCCAACATCAGTGATCCTGTCACGACTAAGATCAGTCCCTATGGTAAGACCATTATCTCCGGCTCGTGGGGCAAACAGGCCCAGAGGGACAGCGAGGGCCAGAAGAACAGCTTCTGGGTTCAGCCTCTGCTCAACGGCCACATCTGGGGCAACACTGTGCGCGTATACCAAACCTACGAAGACTTCATGGCCTCAACCAAGCACAAGGACTTTACAGTCGCTCCGTCTTTCGCTCATGCCAACACCATTGACGGTCCCAGTGCGATTCTATACGGCGAGGCGCTGTACTATCACTGCTACTTCTCTGCAGACATCTGCCGCTACGACCTGAACAGCAATTCCGTCAAGAGGGTGACACTTCCTGGAACAGGCGTGGGTTTCAACAACAAGTTCCCGTACTGTTACTACGACTGCCGTGCCAATAGTGATATTGAGGTGGAGGCAGATGAGACGGGACTCTGGGCTCTGTATGCCACTGTTGGTAACCACGGTAATCTGGTCGTGAGCCGGCTGCTCTGGGACAGCGAGGCTGAGACCCTGAATGTCTCGCAGACGTGGGAGACGAGGATTTTCAAGAAGGCGGTGAGCAACGCCTTCATGGTGTGCGGTGTTCTGTATGCCACTCGCTATGTGGACGATTACCGCGAGGAGGTGTTCTACGCCTTCGACACGGCCACAGGCAGAGAAGACAACTCTCTCTCTCTGCCGCTGGAGAAGGTAGTCAAGGGAGTGGCCAGCCTGAGCTACAACCCCACCAACAAGCAGATCTACATGTACAACGATGGATATCTGCTCGCCTACCAGGCCAGCTTCTCCACTCCATTTGACACGTATAACAGGAAGTAACAGAGCCAGATATTGTCCAAAAATATATATTATATAGGGTGTCTGGTACTCCTTATTGTTGTGATTTGTTGGGCATACAACTTACTTTTTGACTAAATGTTTGTATTATAAAACAGATTGTTGTCGAGCTGTAACATTTAAAAAACATAAAATAATAAAAACTCTTTCTGTCCGTTGTTTTTAGCAACATTTTGAGTGTGTTCACTCTTAGTTTTACCTGTGGTGAAAATGTTATCTTCTTTAAAACGTTTCCTATTGTCTGAACACTTCTGTTTCTTGCCCTGTTGGAATTTTTTTTACTAATGCATCTACATTGTAGTAGTCGGCAGGCCTGTATTAATTATTCGGGCAATTAATCAGACCTACTAATTGACCTAACAGAAGCTATTGAGTCTATGTAAGTTTACTGCCGGGCTCGGATCCACCTGGGTCAGCAAGGTCTCACCTCTACTAACTCCTAAAGAACCAGGTTCAATTAACTGCGGTTTCAATTCAGACGACGCACTAAATCCGCTTATGCGATCCCGTAGGATTCTGGTATCAGTGATGAGGTGTGGCCCTACCTAAGGGTGGGTGTGGCAGTTGTGCAATCTTACCACATTTGGAGTTGTATACACTGTTGGAAAGAGGAGATTCCTAGCTTTCTAATGATATCAGGATTGTTGTTACACTCCAAATATTAAGCAAAATATTTCACATTATATAATGACTGTCACGAGTCATCATTTTGAGAACAAGGCCTTCAAAATGTCCTCTTCTCTGGAATCCATCGATCCGATTGATTATTAGCGGAGCAAATGATCAAAGTAGTACGGAGGGAAAATATTTTCGTTTGGATTACTGAGGCCTGTACTACAAAGCCGGATTTTCGCTTAGCGAGCTAACTTCAGGGAAAACTCTGGGTTTCTGGTGCTACGACGCTGGTTCACTTCTTAGCGGGCTACATCTCCATGGTAACTTATGCTGAACGGCTAGCCTGGTCCGTAGCCGGTTAGGTTCCAGGATAAGAGATCAACTCAGTAAAAGCCCCGCCTGCTGACCAATCAGAGCTCCGTGTGCGGAGTTTAAAGCGATCAATTCATATTACAGGATAAAGGAAATACAGAAAAAACGCTGTTGCAGGAAAGACGGCTGGCAAAAATCCCCGACTGTGTGAATGTGAAAATTAATAGAATATCACCTCCCATCTTCAGAGCAATCTGACTATTATAACATTAGCGTTAAGAAAGCTTACTTACATATCTGCCACAAGTTAACATAAGGAACCGGATCAAAGTAACATTACGTACAGTCCGCGACACTGTGAGTGCAGAAGTCGATGTGTCCCATTATCATTCATATCACATCATATCACATCATAATGTATCATATATCTCCTTATCTGAGTCAGCTTCTCGAGCCGTATCTGGCCGTGCAACACTCACAGTGTCACATACTGTATGCAGAAGAATTATTTTAAGCAACACATTAAGTTGACGAAACACTTGAGTCAAATGTAATTAAATTCAGACTTTAGCGCCACCTTACTATTCGCCAAAATGTTTTTAATACCAGCGGTAACCGGCCAAGCGCAGGGCAAAAAACTATCTTCAAATAAATAAATGTCACCAGAGGAGTTAAAGGAGAGTGACAGGGAGTAGGAGAAGAAGAGGGAGAGAAAGTTTCAGCCACACTGGCTTGATCCATGGAGTTGGCTTCGATATGATGCCAATATAAACAAGGTCTTTTGTCGGCTCTGTACATCAATGCCGACCTATGCTGACAAGTAAGTGAAGAGTAGAACAAATATAAAGGTATATTGGCTATAGGTGTGAAGTAAAAACTTCTTTGCAGCAATGTTGAGCCAATCATGAAATGAGGGAAACTGGATTCGCCTGTCAATACACTGATATTTATTGAGAGACAAACGGCCGGAGGATTAACAAAGCAACTCGCACTGTTCAATGCAAGCTGCCAAAATTAACTCTGCCCACACAAAGACGGAAGCGCTCGAACCTGGTCTCCGAGAAGGGGCGGAGCCCAGAAACGCGGGCCTTTACCCCAATCGATTACAGATGAACAGACAAAGAAACTCTGTCTGAGCGGGCAGTAAACCCTTCCCCCCACACAGAGAAAGAGTAGTCACTCATGTGAAGTTTCTCAGGTCAGCTAAGCATCAGACTAAAATAGTCCTTTACAGATCCACCCTTTTATCAATTTATGATAATCAATTAACATTAGTCTAAAGAATATTTCAGTCAATACTTAAATCAATAAGCGTCTTCAGAGTTGGGTGGGCTCACTCACATTAATTAATCAAAAGTAGAACAAGATTGAAAACACTTCAATCACCATGATTGAACACAGTCAATCATAATAAAAATCATCTCTCTTCAGTGCTTGGCATCATTTGTCAAAAAGCACAATAAACAACATGTGAAATACAACAATATTATAGCAAAATATATGTTTCAAAAATAAGATCTTTTATCATTTATCACTCAGTTAATCTCATTCATCAAACACAAATTCTAAATCAGTTTACATCTCAAAGATTTACTTTAAGGCAATTACTTATTAAAACACAATTAGAATTTAGGATTATAAGAAATCCAATTGGTATAAATCAGAATCATGAGATATCCAGCTAAGGTTCCCAGTTAAGGTATAAATTCACAGTGATGAATCGATCAATCTGTAATCTGTAAAGTTACAGTGTCCTCAATCTTTAACATTACTTTACGTTTACTTCATTACGCTTTATTCAAGAGTAAGGCATGATATTTAATTAATTACATTACTTCAACTATCAATCATTATGTCATTTCAAAATCTGAAGGGAAAACTAAACAATTCTCAAAATGTTTAACAATCTGAAAAAGAAGAATCAAACATTTTATTGTATAACAACCTGAAAAAGAAAAATCAAAACATCTGTTCTTTATTCAGAGCATCAACTGTAATCAATATCAAAACATCTGTTTTACCTGGTAATGATTAAGGATAGTAACATTGTCTGTTATAATATTAGAAATATCTTATTGTTCAATACCTTATAAATCTGAAAATATCAATTAATTAATTTGTTTAGTGTGAAAGTGTAATCTGATCTGACAAAATATATTTATCACCACTATTTAACACATATCTGTTAATTGGGAATACAAAAACAATCATTAATTGTACATCTGTAATCATCTGATCATTCAATTCAAATGTTATCTTTGTATCAGAGCTAGAAGAACATGTTTTCCTCCTCTCTTTATGACACAGAATGTCTGGTGTGTAAAGGCATCCTGATACTGTAGATTAGCACTGAGGTGCTGATTGGCTCAAAACTCTTCTTCATCAGAGCGCCATATCTCAATTATCTGTAGATTAGCACTGAGGTGCTGATTGGCTCAAAACTCTTCTTCATCAGAGCGCCATATCTCAATCCCCCCCAATTGCTCTGCTTTTGTGGCTCAATTCAGTGAGCACTTTATGATCTCCCAGTGAAACAGAGGCTCATCTGCCTGCATTCCTTCTGCTATCTGCTTGAGAGCAGTGCACCTGCCTATTCCAAATGGCACATCCAGATGCCTCTGAAACCATCGCTCGTCCTGTAGAGTTGTCTGCCTGAGCCCACCGAGCAGAAAGATGAAGAAGCATCCCATCTCATCAGAAAGTTGAAGATTAGAATCCTCTCATCTCGAACGACCTCCTTGCCCGTGGATAAGTTGCTCTCTGCAGCCGGAGAGTGTGATCCTCTCTCTCTGACCCTTGGCCTTCAGAGCTGTCCTAGTTATTGGGTTAACACTTGATAGGGATGTTTTCCTGAGTGCAGACAACTCAAGGTAATGGATTAGCACATTATCATTCAATTACAAAAATAGGATAGGCCCCCTCAGAATTATTTGGGAGCCTTCCTGACACATGCACATTATAAATGTAAGGTTTGTGTTAGTCATTTAACATGCAAGAATCATATACTCATCAGTCCAAAGCAGAGAAATGTTATTTTAAGTTAAATGTGAGCTAGTCCCTGTGGAATAACCCTTTCTCAATGATTCTAAATGTTATATTAATTCACCATTTACCGTTTGATCAAGGATTAGTTTATCAGAAGTACATTTCCTCTTCCATAAAACATAGGTTTGAGAAATGAATGTTCCAATATGAAATCAATTGCTCAATTTCTCAATATAATTGGACTCTTCCCTCTCTTTTCTTACATATTGTCACATATGAAATAATAACTTAGGAGTCTATTTAAGCATGGTATTGTCTATATAAGCTATTAATCGAGAAAACTCAGAGTCAGTATGCAACTCGCAAATATCTCTCCTCCTTCCTATCCCTCTTTACTCACTTCCCCATCTCTTTCTATTGTCTCTTTCTCATCCCTCTCTCTTCTTCATCTCACTCTCATCTCCCTTTACTCACTTCCCCATCTCTTTCTATTGTCTCTTTCTCTCTTACTTCTGTTAGATATGAAGTAAAAACATACAAGTCCATGTAAGCATCTGAGTTACCACCGTTACCAAACGGTGTGCCGCGGCACACTGGTGTGCCGTGAGGCAAGTCCGGGTGTGCCGTGGGATTTTGTGACAACCATACGTTATTATTGCAATATACAACTACACAAAAATAATTTTTATTTTTTTATTTACTATATCAGTACTTTGTAGGTTTATATGTACGTAATCTGCGCGACTTGCGCGTCCACATCTCCACGTGCAGTTCTGCATAAACATGGCTGAGTCAGCGATAACTCTCGAGGGGTGGAGGTATGCCCATTATTTTGAGTTCGTCCGAAGAATAGACAGGAATGTGACGGTGAGGTGCAAACTGTGTCCAGGCCAGAAGCTGTTACCCACTGCTGGAAACACCACGTCAAACCTCAACAAACACCTGCAAAGAACACATGCTAAGGTGAAGCTAACGCACAGCTATTAGTTGTTTGTTTATATCACGCAGTCTGTTCTTCTTCTCTGTCTTCCGGTTGTTGCCTGTATTGAATGACAAATACACACTACCGCCATGGATGTACAATAAGAACTGGATACAGCGTGGGAGGCGGGGCCTCATTCATTCCTATGAGAGCTGCTCATTAGCGCATGATGATAAAATGGCCCAACTTTTGAGAGAGTGAAACGTCACAGATTACCCAGCATGCCTGAGAAGTACCCGTATGTGCACTCATAGAGCATGCGCA